GTGATATTGGACATCTCCCACCCAAAGCCAAGATTCTTACACCTACTTGTCCTGATGAAAGTCAAACGCTTAAAAAAGTTCTTTTTCTCTTTAAAAACTAGCTTTATTTAAAAGAATCTGAAGCATAATAACACTATAGGAAACAAACTTACAATACATATTATTCAAGAAAGCCTGCCATACATCATTTCTACTAATAGTAGGTCTATATACTGATAAACAACATTCTTTATACAATGCACAAATGACATGAAGCATTATCCCTGAAAAGAATGGCCAACAATAACATGGACTGTCTTGACAGCAGAACATCTACTTGTCTTATTACTTATCTATAGAATAAAAAAACTAAAATGTAGATGACAAATTAAACTCCTCCAATTTTAAATTCTAGCATAGTTTTGGGGGAAGAAGGGATTGGGATCAGAAGAGGCAAATTGTGTTAAGTATCTCAAAAAGAAAAAGGAGTCTGGCTTACCGTTATTTAAGTAGTTCCTATGAAGTAATTCAGAACTGAGAATGTATTTGTTTAACACTTGGAGGCCCTTACAGAGTCAAACTTTCCATTATCTACTATATTCCATCAGTTATCAAGCCAATTTTATTTGTCTGAAAACTGTAACCTGGTCATTAACCACATAGAAAAATAAACAATTTGGGGTAATCTAGTCATTTCATACTTTATTTAAATGTTTCCACAAAGCAGTTCGTGAATTAATAATACTTCTTTAGACTTCTATGATCTAAATAGAAACAGATCCAGTTCTAAAAGAATGTATGTGAAAATAGCAGACAAAAATAAATCCCTAACATGTAATACTAAATTTTTAACATAAAATATAGAACTATGAAAATTTGGGGCATTCAAGTCAAATGTAATAGGATTATGATACAGTATGGTACCTAGCATTTTAAAAAATATTAGGACTGCATCAGATTTATTGCTATATCAATCCTATCAATAGTCGACAATCAAAAGTACAAAATATACCATAACCATGCCAAATATGATGCAGCATAGAGATATCATTAACGTAACACAGGTAGACATTTTGTAATATACATCACTGATATAGTAAAACCTTATTCAGGATAATTTAAACTGATATGTCTAGAATTTGAATTTTTAAAAAGATACGCAGTTTAAGCACTCACAAGCATTCATTTTTTTCTTTCAAGTGTATAATTTCAAATATACAAATTTGCATTGGCCAAGTATTACTTACTACAATTCTTTTGGGTACTTGTCTTAATGACAAAACAAGAATGCTTTTAAATTACTATTCTTAAGTAAACACCTCTAAAATAAAAAGCTTAAAAATTTGCCTTCAAGATTGAACATTTTTCTTTAAAATCTTGATTATAACCTTTATTACCAAATCCTTTCATCAGGTAGTACAAAGTAAACAGCACTCAAGTCCTTGAATCAATGGTTAAAAATTCCAGGTAAATTAGAGGAGTCTTATGGTATCTTCATCATGTCTTAATAAATAAAGATAAACATTACAGTGCTACTTATTTTGGTTATGAGGGAGTGAATGATGTCTTTTTTGGCTGGGAAATATCAGCATAATTTCAAAGTGACTATATAATTTTAGTAGTATGGGCTAAAAAAATCCTAACATGCACTACCATTTAAGGTAATTACTTAGTAAATTATACCTGTAAATGGAAAATAAAAATTTTAAGAGTTATTGTATTACAAGTGTCATGAGTTGGTAACACTAAAATTTACTCCTCTCCCATTTGAAAGACATCAGGCCATCTATTAATCCGTAAATATTGATGTTTCACATACTTCATAGAGTAGCTTAAAACATACCAGCATAAGAAATAATTAGTATTACATAGTAATTTCCTTTGCCATAGGAATAAATGTTGGACAAAGTCTGGAAACATTTTTTTTCCAATTTGAATTACAGTAATTTTGCCACAGACCACAGCACTAGTGCATGTGTTACTTTAGACATGCTCTAAGAACAAAACAAAAAGTTACTGCAAAAATACATGTCACCAATGTGGAACACACTCAGATTTGTATAAAAGTACTGAACTAATATCCCAAAAAGAGGTATATGTAAACAGTACATAAGGAAGAAATAGTTTTAATATGAAACAATCATTTAAGTCACATACATCATGATAAGAAGCAGGACTTTCTTTTATAAAAGATAATATTTTGACAAACAAGCAACATCATCTACACATCTACAGAACAAGAAAGGTACAGGTATTTAGAATAAGTTTTAATATAATTGCAAGTAATGTATTATTGACAAATAAGACAAAGATGCTTATCCATTGAGTTTCATCAAAAGTTTTAAATTAAACACAGGCAGCCTCTGATATATTAACGCCTGGCGTATATATGGCCACGGTCTTTCCTTCATTTCCCCTACACCACTTGTCTTGGGAGATGCTAATGCTATCCCTAGCCTCTTTGCTCCAGGGGTGCTTCCAAATTCCCATCACTGTACCACAAGTTGGAAGATGTTCAGATTTGACTTTTATAATGCTCTACTGGATAGAACAATAAGCTACTAAAAATTAGAAATGAGAAGAAAATCTCTAAATTCAGAATTAGAAGAGAGGAAGCTGTGCAAAGTCACAACAACCTAAAGGAAATTGGATGTACCTTCAGACAGTACCAGCTAATTCACTAAACGTACTGCTTCCGTGGTATCTGAAATGTGGTCATATTGTCTGAAATGTTAGATAGTAAAGATTCATTCTTAATAAACATCCTTTTTTAAGAAAGAAATTTAATGACACTTTTCCCACTATCTTCGTTCATACCTTAGTAGAAAATGCTTTTCTCTTAAAGTCTAGCCAACTACTGCCACACAAAGACACAGGATTTCTGATGGGAGGAATGATATAAAATGTTGAAGCACAGAGCATCCAGGAGAGGAAAAGCCAAGCCTGCTTATACATTTCACCAGAGTTCAGCATGGTAAGGGGGCAAATACAAAGAAACCCACACCAAAGAACTTAACCTCCTAATCACATCAGGAAAAAGACAAGACCTCTGCTTCTTTCTCCCTCCTACATTGATCGATTGGTTTTCTAAAGAAAACTGAGAGCTCAGCATGATACTATTAACTAGATTATGGTCTAAATGAGCCTTTAGGAGCTTCCCTATTGCGCAGAGTTCCAAGCCACTATTTACAAATGAACTTTGGGAGCCTGGATGCTTTTAAATTTTTTTTAATTGAAAAAAATATAAAACAGCACGAATGTTCATGCATATGAAACCTCTATGCACTGCAGAAAGAAATCCAAAACTCTTGAGAATTCCCTTTTAAAAAATCATTGCTTATATATTTTCTTACTATTAAATACAATTACTATAGTACATTGAACAATAAGTGCTAAAACTCTAATTTGTTCAAGACAAACAAGTTTGAAAGAATATTGAATGAAGACTCTTGATACTTATTTGGATTAAAGTTGGCAGATTTCATGATGACCCATACTATTAAGAGGTTTTTCTGCCACTAGGCAGAGTTTGGAATCTAAAACAAACCACCAAAAAACTAGATTTCTGCACACTGTGTTTATGAAGAATAAGTACTAGTACTAGAAAATCTTCAGTTTTATGTATATAACCTTCTAATTTGAATAACAAGAATCATAATAGCAGTACTCTAAAGTATTTCACACAAAAAGAAAACACCGATCACAAATCTAATTCTAAGCACTCTATCTGAAGAACAATTTATCTTTCACAAGCTAAGCTGTTTCAGTATTAGTGAATCGAGTAACACCTAGAAGCATGTGGACCAGAAATTCTCTAGTGCATGAGCAAATCAAGTTCTGAGAAAGGAACTGATGCTTTAAAAATATTTCTGTCTGGCCGGACGTGGTGGCTCACGCCTGTAATCCTAGCACTTTGGGAGGCTGAGGAGGACAGATCACTTGAGGTCAGGAGTTTGAGACCAGCCTGGTCAACATAGTAAACCCCATCTCTACTAAAAATATAAAAATTAGCCGGGTGTGATGGTGAGCAACTGTAATCCTAGCTACTCAGGAGGCTGAGGCAGGAGAATCGCTTGAACCAGGGAGGCAGATGTTGCAGTGAGCTGACATCTCATCACTGCACTCCAGCCTGGGCAACAGAGCAAGATGGCTCAAAAACAAAACAAAACAAAACAAAAAAACCACCTTTCTGTCAATAACCTGGCTTTGGTGAGTAAACCTAGATGCTCATAGTTAGCCAGGTTGAACTTCAGCAAAACTCAAGGATGTCAGAGAAAGAGAGTGTGTGAGTGTGAGAGAGAGACTGTGTGTGTGTGTGTGTGTGTGTGTGTGTGTGCGTGTAAGTAAGATGAGGACTTTCAGTGAAGGAAAGGGATAAAAAAGGTACAATTCCACTTGCGTTTTTTCCCATCACTGCATATTTTTTAAGTTGAAGGCAGCTTATCATTTGTCCTAAGAAGCCATTTCAGTTTGTATAATAGCCTTCTTCAGACAAATTATCATCTGGCTATTCTTATATTTCATCACTTTTTCCATCCAAAAGCATCTATATAACTTTTGACTTAGCATTACTTAGAGACAAATGTAGAACTAGGAAGAAAATTATTTCAAACACATGAACACTATTCATCAGCATGATTACAGCTTGGCTATGATTCACTGTCAGAATGAACCATGAGTTTTTCTTCTGAATATTTACAGATTCTTATTTAAGTAAGGTGCTTTGAAGACCTAAACACCTGAATAAAAATTCACCTGTTTGTAGGTTTTTAAAAACAACTATGTGGAAATAGAAAATGAATTACATTGCATAACAAATACTGTTAGACTAGCTTGGAGAGGTTATTTCATTTTCACAAAAACAGTTAACTACTGAAACTTAAAGAAATAAAGAGTTTAAGAAACTGCATAATCGATTTTAGTAATGATCACAACTCAAGTACTACCATGTAAAGTGTTAACTCCTGAGAACACTGGAAAGTTCTACTCAAAATATCTAGCTCTATTCAGGGTAATAACAAATCATGATCTGATGCTACAACTAGGCATATAGCATGCAGTGCATCATTTATTAAAAATCAGCACTCATTAAACTTTCAGGAGCAACATAACCAGGTTCTTAAACATTTAGAGAAGTATGTATAACAAAAATTCCAAGTAAGATGAGATCTTCAAGTATGCTAGTGAACACCATCAAATGTCTGTCAGCCCAAAATACTGCATTTTAACCTGCTTCAACTGGTAAAGTTTTCACACAAAGGAGTACCTAGAAGTATAGTTTTATATCATTTTGTTTCCCAAAATTGTAAAGATAAATATTTTACAACTACTGAAAATATTTTGTACTCATCTCTAACTAGTCAAGGGTAAATGGAGAAAACCTTATATTACCTTGTACCATATGAAATTGCTGTTTTTGTAGGTCAAAATTAAAACACTGTATTTAAAAAAATAAGTTTTATTCAATCAAAATATGCATCAGGAGCATGAATAGTTTTCTTCCAACAGAATATTAAAGGTTTAACTTTTATAAAATTCATCATTTGTTAGGCTGTATAAATTGTTCACATCTTCCAGTTACTTCATCTCAATTGGGGAATGCACTGTTTCTTAGAAAAAGCTCCAAATGATAAAGACAGTAGTCCATGGAATAAAGGTCCAGTGACTAAAATGGACATGACAAAATTTCATAGCCCAAGTCACTTAACTTTTGCTTTAGTAGCTTCTGACATGTGAGGTCGAGTCCTTGTCTTAAAAGTGTAGGTTCTTGTGTGTTACCCAAAGGACATTGTTTTTAAATCACATTTTTCATGCATAATTTAAATTTCTTGACAATATGCTGCTGCCATCATTGTTTCACTTGGGTTTAAATAATAGTAATTATTTATCTCCTTTGTAGATCACCACACAATCTTCAGAATTTTTTTTGGTTGCAATGATAATGGTGGCAACATATTAGGGAGATTTACCAGCCTCCAACGATTGTATAAATTGTCATTAGCTGTCAAACAGTATACTTTTTTTTTTTTTTGGCCACAGGTTAGAAACTGCTCCAAAAATGGATTTCTGCTGTTTTGAATCTTAATGAGCACACCTCCAACTGTCTCCATTCTTGATCATCCCTCAAGAGGGTACTCTCAGGTCCATTTTTATACTTTCCCCCAGTCACAGTGGGAGCTCCTTAAGTCTTCTGTAAGGCTTCAAATTGTTGTTTGCGAGTTAGATTTCACTTTGGCTCTTAATTGATCTTTGCTTAAAATGGATTTTGATCTCCCCTAAGGTTCATTTTTGATATCCAGATCCCTAGAACAAGATTTTTCAAACCACCACTGAGTAGTTCTTTTACTAGCAGAGCCCTCTAAGGCCAAATGGATGTTTCTACCTTCCTCATTTGCAATATGTCCCAGTTCAAAATTACACAAAAAGTATTCACAATTCTTCTGTGGATACTATAGTATTCCTCTGGAAAACAATAAACAATAACAAAACAACTCAATATCAAAGAAAAGTAGGAGCATAATACTATCATAATTCTAAATAGCACAACTGGGACATACATTACGCAAACTTTACTAATTGCAGTCAATTTTCAACTGATCTAATATTAGCAATTTCATGTGGTACCATCCACAAGTTAATCAATACTTACTGAGAATTTACTATATGCTAAGATCTGTCTTGTATCTGTACAGATATCCTGAAAACTCACTTGAAAATATGAAACTAATTAATTCCAAAGACCCTAGTGGAGGAGGAATCTGGTGTCATACTATTATTTTTTTAATCCATAAAAATGTATGCTTTCCCCCATGTTACAGTTACATATATTATGTTGTGAAGACGTGTTAAGTGGATCCTTGATAAACTTTTTGAACTAAATCTTTAATATGGTACAACCAAAGTTCAGCAATGAAATACACGTATTTCAATGATTCTAACTTTTAAAAGTTAAAACTTGCCTACATTTATTATATATTATTTTGAAGTTTCAAGAGGCTTTTATGTTTGTGATAAATAACAACAACTAACATTTATTTATAAATGCTTCTAAAGCACCCCCATATACATTATTCTCATTTAAGACAGCAAGCAAAGACAATAAAAAATTTGCTCTAGTATGAGTGAATTATTAATAAAAACTAAGTAAATTATGTTTTTGTGTATGCATTTAAAAAAATAATGTAAAACATTAAAATCCTGTGTCAATGAACTTTCGCAATACACAGGAAAATAAACCCACTTTAGTTAATGCCTGTGATTAAGCATCACTGCCCACTGCAGACGGACCGAAAGTTTCTCTAGTACGCATTAACTGGACATCTTTGTCAGCCATACAAGTATCACAGCCCCATACTGCAGATGCTTCTGCAGTTAAGAGGCCATAAGCTGTTTCAGTCATTCCAGTACAGATCCGATGAAACCATTTCTGACAAGAGGCCTCACATAAGATGGCATCCTGATCATCATTCACCTCGTTTGTACAAATTCCACAAGGATACACTGGGTCAGAAGATGAATGGCCATGACGGTTTGGGTGAAGAGAAGATTTATTGCTTTTTTCAGTGGTGCAGGCATCTGCTGCACCTCTTGGTTGTCGTGGCTTATTCTGCGTCCCATTTGCATGGTTATTGTTTGTGGCTTCAGTGCTACTTGAACGGCTGTTCTCTTGATTTACTGCATTGCTTCGATTAACATTTTTTAATTCAATATTACTCTGATTCACTGTGTCATCCATATTCAAGTGAGGTGGATGAGCAGAGGAATTTTGATTAGTGTTTTTGGTTGCTCCTTGAGGAAAGTCTTGTTTTGGGGGAGGTGCTTTTGCTTGACCAAAAGTGTTTGGGGGAGGAATAAAAGAATGATTAGATTCTAATGGAGAAGTAAAATTTGAATTATTTCCAGGAACAAAATTAGATGCCAAATCAGGGTTAGAAACTTGGCTAGCGTTCTGTGGAGGAATCTGACTGAAATTTTCAGCAGGACTTTGTCTAAAATGTTGATTAGGCATGTTGACATTCTGACTTAGTGCATTATTATAAGATGGGTTACCGAAACTTGAATTATCATGTGGCCCAAATGTAAAAGCATGAGGTCGATTAAAACCCATGCCCAGAGGATTCTGAGGAAATGGGTGTGGCTGGTTCCTGAGTGAGTAAGGACCACAGTATGGGGAAGACATTCTTGGGGGAACGTGAGGTGGCATTCTGAATGTACTATAGCCTCCAAAGCCAGGATAACCAGGGCCAAGATATGGATTTGACGAAGGTAGTGGTTTATAGGAAATAGTATTATAGTTGTCATCAAATGGATTAGCAGCCACTAGATGGTCAGAGTTTGGATTCGGTGGTGGAGCATACTCAGACAATGGAGGAAAAGAAGGTCCCTGAAATGAAAATGTAAAGTAAAATACATGTTTTTGATCAAATATGTTATTAAAATTGTCCTGTTACCTTAATACCTGTGAACCCAGTATTAGTCAAATTTCTCTTGCAGTGTTGTTATAAACATTTATTATCTTCACTTGACCTTTCAGTTATGACTAATGTTTATATTTAATTATACTTGCTGATAAAAATGTTAGGTTTATTTCATTTACGAAAGAAAATAAAGTATGATTTTCTGAGCTCAAATCCATTGTAACTTCAAACCCCAAAAGTATTTAACTTTCAAAAGAAGCTTTATTATCCTAATTTTCATTTAATATGCTTACCTATAACTCTGGAATCTTTCACTTAAATACTAAAGCAGTCTAACCTAAAACACCTTTCATACACCAAATAGTCACAAAATTAAATAACAACAATCAGAATCTAAGTTTTTCCCCTAGCTTAACTTCAGGGAGATACAATTAAAGTATTCCCAAAACATTAAGCTCTGGGCCTCAAACTGAAAAAATAAACTGCCAGTTCTAGTCACACTGCAAGTTTAACAGATGGTGGTCAAAATGATCAAAAGATCAGTAATCTGTACACACAAACTTACTAGTAGCCTTTATCATAAAAAGAGTGCTTCAAATTTATAAAGAATAAAACCATGAGAGCCTGTATGTATAATTGCTTGTTATAACTGAAAATTATAACAAAGGCCTCCATCATGATTGCTTCGTGATATGCACATAATACTAAATTACTATTATAGTTGAACAATTACTTCAGGTTAAAATTGTTACTATATATTTTTAAATCTTTTAATAGAACTACAGGCATTCATGCCCTTGAAAAACTTTTACATTAGATTTAAGAACAAGCATTTTAATTTTAATTTTTTTTGAGACAGAGTCTCACGCTGTCACCAAGGCTGAAGGGCAGTGGTGCGATCTCAGCTCATGGCAACCTCTACCTTCCAGGTTCAAGCAATTCTCATGCCTCAGCCTCGCGAATAGCTGGGATTACAGAAGTGTGCCACCACACCTGGCTAATTTTATATTTTTAGTAGAGAGGGGCTTTCCCCATGTTGGCCAGTCTGGTCTCAAATTCCTGGCCTCAAGTAATTCACCCACCTTGGCCTCCCAAAGTGCTGGGATTATAGGCGTGAGCCACCACGCCCAGCCTCTTTTAACAACAAGCATTTTAATTTGCCCACACTTCCTTTGTGCAATATCTACTCTATGCCGATAGTCCGACAATAGCCACTAGTTACAGACTTAAACAAACAAACAAAAAGTACAGCCGGGCACGGTTGTAATTATGCTTGTAATCCTAGCACTTTGGGAGGTCGAGGCGGGTGGATCACAAGGTGAAGAGATTGAGACCATCCTGACCAACATGGTGAGACTCTGTCTCTACCAAAAATACAAAAATTAGCTGGGCATGGTGGCGCTTGTCTTTAGTAATCCCAGCTACCTGGGAGGCTGAGTCAGGAGAATTGCTTCAACCTGGGAGGCGGAGGTTGCAGTGAGCCGAGATCACCCCACTACACTCCAGCCTGGCAACACAGCAAGAATCTACCTCAAAAAAAAAGAAAGTACCATCACTTGAATGATTGATTGAAAGTACAATGAATGATTGAAAGTACAATCACTTGAACAGAAAACAAAACTTATGACCAAGTTTAAATTTACCTCATCAGCCTGATCATACTAGAAAGAAAAACTGTTATTAAAGAAAATATCAGTTTACCTGTGTATTTGCCTTGCGTTTTTTCTTATCTGGGCTTCCTAGTTGTACACTTGGTCCTCCTAACCCATCCAGTCCACTATCACCACCTAAAAAAAAAATTCAGATAATATTTCCCACTGGTAAGTGAAGTTATTTTATATCTCACAGTAATATCTATTATATTTACCTGTTAATGTTTTCTATTTTTGTTAGACAAGAGAAATACTAAGCTTTCATTATCTTTATTTTTCAAAAAAAGGTCTTTCCCATAGTTTCAGCCAGATATAGCCATTCATCCCTGCTCCCATATTTATCATTCTTTCAGTGAAAAAGCAAAGTCTCTCTCTCACTCTAAAACCTTTAGTAATCTGGTTCCCTGTCTCAGAGGCCACCACTACTATTAGTTTCTGGTCTACCTTTCCAAAGATAATCTAGATATATTCAAGTACAATATTTTTTTTTGGCAGAAAGAACACAAATGCTTTCTTACTTGCAGATCATTCCATATCACTCTATCTAGAACTTCTTTATTCTCTAATAACTGAGTAGTATTCTACAGCGTGACTACACTATGATTCATTAAACTAGTCCCCCCCATAATGATGAGAGTTTAAGTTGTTTCCAACAAAAATCCATGTATAAATGCCTTCAGAGAGATTTACAAGTAGTTCCTAGAACCAGAATTATGGCATCAAAGGTATGTGCCTTTTAATTCTTAAAGATATTGTTAAGAATGCAACAATGTTTCCAAATATTGCTTTCTCAACAGTATATGATCAAGGAAAGCAAAAGCTTGACTATCAATTTAAGAGGTTAAAGAAAGTTTATGAAAGGAATTTTTTCAGCTTTAAGAAACATTTTATTATGGAGAATTCTGAACATATACAACATACAGAGAAGAATAAAATTAACCCCATATGCCTATCAGCCAGCCCTAATAACCATCAATTCATGTTCAATCTTGTGTTTTCAACACCACCTTCACCTCGCTCCACCCAGTACTACTTTGAAGAAAATTTCAGACATCATTTTATCGGTAAATATTTCAGAAAGTATTTCTAAAAACTAGGAACTGAAAAAAAGTACAATGCCATTCTAGCCACTATAGAAATTAACAATAATCCTTCATATTATTTCATACCCAATCCAAATATCTCATAATATCTATATGGTTTGTTTAGATTGGGATCCAAATATGGTCAATAGATTACAACTGGTTTGACATGTCTTTTAATTGATATACTTCCTTCCATCACTGTTTTTTCCTTGCAATGTATTAACTGAAAGAACCAGATTGATTATTGTTCCAATTATTATATTGTCCTTTAGCTCCAACCCCTCTTAGTGACACTGGGACTGGGACTTTGCAAACTACATTTTTCTTTTGCTAGGGTCTTCCAACGGGAGCTCTAGAGGGATACTTGAAGGCCAGGGGAGGTGATACGGAATTGCTGCTCCTCGTGTCTGCTTAGTCTTCTTATCTCTATCATCCCAACAGGCTTTCTCTCTGGCACTGGTAGTTCATCCCACTCCCCAAACCAGCTTCAACATGTTCTCTCAGAGGTATTAATACCAGCTGGGCAGCACCTCAATCTCCAAGTCTGAGTCCAAGCTCTAAGGGGTCTCTCTTCCAATCCTCTAGGTTCTCATAACCCCAACTTCTTTTCTTTGTTCACTAAGTCCCAGATGTGGAAGTTGCTTCCTGCAGTTACTGTCCATGCTACCTCACTTTTTGCTTTTTTGGTTTTTCAACACCTGTTTAATTCCTTATATAAAATTATATTACAAACTATATTACATTCAATTGCAGGTGTGATTTATGTTTTCTAGCCTGGAATGTTTGATATATCTGGATTTTGCTGATTATATTTGCTGACTGACATAGTTTAACATGTTCCTTATTTCCTACAAATTGATATTGGGTCTAGACCAGTGATCCCCAACCTTTTTGACACCAGGGACCAGTGGTCGGAGATGGGAGGTGGGGATGGTTGTGGAATGAAACTGTTCCACCTCAGATCATCAGGCATTAGATTCCCATAAGGAACGCACAATCTCGATCCCTCACATGCACAGTTCACAATAGGGTTCACCTTCCTATGAGAATCTAATGCTGCTGCTGATCTGTCAGGAGGCGGAGCTCAGGCAGTAATGCTCGCTCACCAGTCACTCACCTCTTGCTGTGTGGCCTGGCTCCTAACAGGGCATGGACTAGCACCAGTCCATGGCCCAGGGGTTGGGGATCCCTGGTCTAGACTATAGGCTTGATCAGATTCAGATTTCTGTTTTTTGCAAGGCTGCTCCATAGGTGATGGTCTGTTCTTCCATTAGAAGGCACCTCATTTCTAGTTGATTTTCTTTAGCAGTTGTATTAATTTTCTTATGTTGTATAACAAATTACCACATACTTGGTTGGCCACTTAAAACAATGTCCACTTAAACAGAAGCAGAGGGAACACTTCCTAACTCATTCTATTGGGCCAATATTACTTTGATACCAAAGCCAAAAACATCACAAGGGAAAAAAAAACCAAAAAAACTACAAACCGACATCTCTTAAGAATACAGATGTGGCTGAGTGTGGTGGCTCATGCCTATAATCCCAACACTTTAAGAGGCTGAGGCAGGGGATTGCTTGAGCCCAAGAGTTTGAGACCAGCCTGGAAAACACAGTGAGATTCCATCTCTACATTAAAATTAAAATTAAAAAAAAAAAATTAGCCAGGTATGGTGGCACATGCCTGTGGTCCCAGCTACTAAGGAGGCTGAGGTGGGAGGATCTCTTGAGCTCAGGAGTTGGAGGCTGCAGTGAGCTGTGAACATGCCAGTGCACTCCAGCCTGGGCAACAAAGCAAGACCCCATCTAAAAGAACACAGATGCAAAAATTCTCAACAAAATACTAGCAAAACAAATGCAGCAGAATATTCAAAGGATAATACATCACAACAAAGTGGGATTTTTCCCAGAAATGGAAGGTTGATTTAGCATATTAAATCAATTTAATATGCCATATTAATAGAATGAAAAGAAATACACATGATCATTTCAATAGATGCAGAAAAGCATTTGACAAAAATCTAATACTGAGAAGGGGCCAACACGGCTGATTAGAGGCAGCTGCAGGCCAGGCACAGTGGCTCATCATGCTGGTAATCCCAACACTTTGGGTGGCCAAGGCGGGCAGATCACTTGAGGTCAGGAGTTCGAGACCAGCCTGGCAAACACGGCAAAACCCCGTCTCCACTAAAAATACAAAAATTAGCCAGCTGTAATGGCAGGCACCTATAATCCCAGCTACTTGGGAGGCTAAAGTGGGGAGAATTGCCTGAATCTGGGACGCAGAGGTTCCAGTAGGCTGAGATCGCGCCACTGCACTCCAGCCTGGGCAACAGAGCAAGACTCTGTCTAAAAAAAAAAAAAAAAAAAAAAACCTGGTCCATGGCTCTCAGGGGAAGAATGAAAATGGCGAGTGAATAAAGCACCTTCAACTGAAATATCCAGGTTCTCACACTGGGACTAACCAAGTGAATAACTTGACCAACAGAGAATGAAGAAAAATGGGGTAGGGCAACTGCCCACCCAGGAGCGGCACAGAGCCAAAGAAAAAACGGCCCACCTCCAGTCAAGGGAAGCAGCGAGTGATTGTGTGACCCCATCCAGGAAACAATGCTTCTCCCACAGATCTTTGCAACTCATGGATCAGGAGATCCCCTTGTGAGCCCATGCCACCAGGGCCTTGGGTCCAATAAACAGAGCTGTGCATGCAGAGTCTCAGGAGAGCAGCCACTCAGGCACACACACACAGACCCAGGAGTTTTACATACTCCAGCCCCAGAAATCCTTGCAAAGATGAAAAAGAATCCTGCAAGGCAGGAGATCCACCCATACATTGCCTAGGAAGGGGGCTGAATCCAGGGAGCCAAGCAGCGTTGTTCTGCAGACCGCACTTACATGGCACTCCCAAGTTAAGATCCATTGACTTGGAATTCCAGCCAGCCAGCAGCAACAGACTGGAGACTGGCTGAGACAGAGCAAGTTCCTGGGGAAGGGGTGGCCGCCATCTCTGCAGTTCAGTTGACTCAGCTGTTCTAGCCTGCTGGCTCTGGGGAGTCCAGGCAGTCTGGACAAAGGGGAGTCCTCTGCAATGCAGCACAGCTGCTGTGCCAGATCATGGCCAGACTACTTCCTTAAGTGGGACCCTGATCCATCCCTTCTCACAGAGCAGGGCCTCCCTGTGAGAATTTCCAGGCAGGGTTATACAGGCAGAACTCTGATCTCTCCCCAGGATGGAGGCTATGGGGAAAGGGGCAGCCACTATCACTGCAGTTCAGTCAACTCAGTGTTTCCTACCTGCTGGCTCTGAAGAGTCTAGGCAGTCTGGACAAAGAAGGATTCCCCCAGTGCAGCACACCAGCTCTATCAAAAAGCAGCCAGACTGCTTCTTTTCTTTTCTTTTTTTTTTTTTTTTTCTGAGAAGGAGTCTTATTCCATTGCCCAGGCTGGAGTGCAGTGGCGTGGCCTTGGCTCACTGCAATATCTGCCTCCTGGGCTCAAGCAATCCTCCCCCCTCAGCCTCCTGATTAATTGGAATTACAGGCACTTGCCACCACCACCACTTGCCACCACCACTAATTTTGTTTTGTTTTTTCTAGCACAGATGGGGCTTTGCCATGTTGGCCAGGCTGGTCTCAAACTCCTGACCTCAAGTGATCCACCCACCTCGGCCTCCCAAAGTACTGGGATTACAGGTGTGAGCTACCATGCCCAGCCCCTAGACAGTGGTGAAACCTCTGAACAGGAGTCTCCAGACACCTCCTACAGGAGCACTCAAGCCAGCAACAGGTCAGGACTGCCCTGAGATGGAGCTGCTAGAGGAAGGAGCAGGCTGCCACCTTTGCTGTTACACAGCCTTCACTGGTAATATCTCCAGGTACAGGAAAAATTGAGGCAACTAGGGTCAGGAGCAGACCCCCAGCAAACTGCAGCAGTCCTACAGAAGAGTGGCCTGAATGTTAAAAGAAAAACAAACAAACAGAAGCAATGACAACAACAATATCAACAAAAAGATGCCACAAAAATCCCATTCAAGGTCAGCAACCTCAAAGA